CGATTGTATGTGCATGCTAGATCAGCCACGCTCACACCTCGTTCTCACTTTTCAACGATTTTACGTTTCATTTCTACGTTATTTTTATTCTCTTATGGCTGTCTTTTTACGGCTTTTTCTTTGGGGACATTTTTGCAAGGGTTATTAAACTTTGCGCAAATAATATGTCTGAACACAAGTTTGGAAAAATGTGTGATCACAAGCAACACTAAGATGCTAGCGGAAGGAGTGCTAAACACGCTCTGATGTAGCAAGCGCACAATCCATGACTTCCCCTCTTGTTTTGCTTGTTATGCGAATTACTCGTTAAGCGAGGTTCCACTGTATAAAAAAAGTCTGTGTGACAATAGCATTGAAAAATCTCAGCAGCAAGCAAACACTGAGTAGAAAGGGAATTATTTCAGACTTTGCAACAAGTCTCTGGAAAAGCCTGACATGATCAGTCATAAAAAAGAAAAAGACTTGAATGTCAAAGGACCTGACATCAAAAGAATTGTCTTTTATACATCTATTGCTCCAAAACAATCAGCCAAAAATATATGCTTAAGTCACACCATAATGCAGCACTACATTAATCAACAAACATCATTTAAACACAATTTATTTCAATCAAGAATCTCTTTTTAATTGCGACCTTCTGCTGAAATAACTCAAGCATTTGTTTTTGTGTAGACCGACCCGCTAAATTTGAGAATTAAAGACTTTGGCAGCTGAATCAATTGTGTTTTCATCAAATATGTCATACACATGTATACTTTCAAAGTAAGTTTGGAGAAAGCTTCTTTTAAACATCCAGAATACAGGTCTTTAGTAATTTTTGTGCGTTTTCTTAAAACCACTGCTGATTGTTTGATCCTCAAACGTTCAGATGACCACTGTTGATTGCTGAATATGTAAGTTAGGAAATGTATGTATGTGTTCCTTCTGTTTCATTACCTTAAAATCAATAAAGCTTATGGAAAAAATGTTTTGGACATAAATCCGTATCTCTCTACAATGTTTGTTTGACATGGTTTGTCTTCTGATAAACAATTAGCAAATTACGCAGAAAAGCATAGAGGTCTCAATGTAAAATGTCTTATTATTTTTGTTCAGTCTTAACCAAAACAGGACTGCACCATAGCTCAAGCGGTTAGTTGCTGGATTCCCACTGTGCCAGCCCGGGTTCGATCCCGGGTCTGGTCAAGTGAGATTTGTGGTGGACAAAGTGGTACTGGGGCAGGTTTTCTCAGAGTACTTTGGTTTCCTCTGCCAATCTTCATTCCACCAATTGGTCCACAATCACCCTCACCTATCATCTGGGGCTGGTACAATACACCAGAAGTGGATGCAGTACAAGGGACTTAGTCCCACCTCACTAGCAATAAAAAAACTAAACAGGAATCTTTCAACAAATTTTACTAAACTCAAAACATCAATTTTCATTAAAATCTGTTCAGCAGTTCTTCAGTTATTTCTTGCATATAAGAGAACTGACAGAGCAAATTTAATGGGTGTTCCACTAGGTTTCAAATGCAAAACAGTCCAAGGGTAATGTTATCATAAATTACATGGAAAAAGAAACAATGGAATGTTTACTTAACAAGCAAGCAGGCCTGTTTTAATGTTACTATGTTACTTGGCTAATTACAATATAGATACCACTGTTAACAATTGTGATAAATGAGTTATACGATACATAGCATAATTACCACATTTGAGTACCTCAGCAAATTCATAAGCTGCCTTTTCAACATACTGCTTCTCTGACCAGACATGAGAACGTGGTCCTATTTTCAATGATTCAAGATGGCCCACAACAATGGAAACCAAATAAACAGGGATTGGTACTGGCTGTTCAAACTTGTGAAGCTTCAGTCCTCCCGGCATGATTGTTGGTATACCTACTCGCCTTGCACTCATTAGTACTGTCAGTTCAGGTGGAGCTGTAATCTGTTCAAAGAGGGAGTTGTTACATGAAAATGCTCTCATACCTGGCAATTTAAAAAAGCATACATGTATACTGGGTACCCTTTATTTCATATCAACAGTCTAGAATTAAAATGTTCAATGCTCACAGAACAAAATTACAGACTGTACTTCACAAAAAAGTGAAACATTCATATTTCTTAATGCTTAAATTCACAGAAAATTAATTTAATGGTGAATAAGATTCTTCTCCCATTCAGTATTTAAAAGTTCTAAAAGAAAATATATTTGTGCATGGGAGGCACCATTCAGTAATAATATGTTGTGTTCAGCATTCACTTTTGGCTTGCTTTCACTCATGGATCATTCTGAGTAGTCATATTATTCACACTTCTCTATGCTGAATATGAAAAAGAATGTGTCTGACCATTCAAGTGCTAGCAAGCCATACATATATATACACATTCTGACAGATGGCACACCATACACCAATGTTTGCAACCCAGGGGCTGAAAATGCGTAAAGCCATTATCAAGAATATTAGCATTTGGTCTTCTGGGCTCATCTGAAGAGTTGGAATGTTCATATTCACTGTGCACCAATCTGGGATAAACTGCACTATACTGAAGATGAATAACATCCATCTCACCATTCAGGTGCTAGTAAGGTGCACATAGGGCCTCGCCATAGCTAAAGCAGTTAGTCGCTGGCTTCCCACCGCGGCGGCCCGGGTTTGATCCTGGGTCTGGTCAAGTGGGATTTGTGGTAGACAAAATGGTGCTGGGGCAGGTTTTCTCAGAGTACTTTGGTTTCCCCTGCCAATCTTCATTCCACCAATTGCTCCACAATCACCCTCACCTATCATCTGGGGCTGGTACAATAGGCCAGAAGTGGCATGGCCACAGTACAAGGGACTTAGTACCACCCCACTACCATTAAAAAAAAAGGTGCACATATATACATACACACACACAGAGCACCATAAAAACTATTTTGTAATCACCAAGGCTGAAAACATGTAATTCTGTAAAAATCTCAAAATCAATTTCTTCCACCATCGCAAACTTTCTCATATATACTATGTATGTATATGAGAAAGTAAAAATACTAAAAGCAATGAGGTATGCAAAACAGCAAAGAACACACTACTCTTAATAAGTTTCCATGGAGATGAATCTTCAAAATGTGGTCTCCTGGGTTATGACCAGGGCCCGGATTTTGATGACATGTCATCTTTTTTTCCTTGTATCCTATGTGATGCTCTTAAATATATGAGGGTAATTCCAAAAGTAAGGTCTCCTATGTTTGAAAATATAAAATAAACATTTATTTTCAATTTTGGATACATCAGTTGAATCTTGAACATGTACTCATTTCTCTACATAATCGCCATTTCGGTCGATGCATTTTTGTAGGTGCAGTGGCAGTTTTTGTATGCCCATGTCATACCAGTTCACCTCCATGCTGTTCAGGAAACTTCGAACCTCAGCTTTCACCTCATCGTCGTTGTTGAAGCGCTTTCCAGACAAATGTTCTTTCAACTTTGGAAAGAGATGGTAGTCACTGGGCGCCAAGTCCGGACTATAGGGTGGATGGGTGATGATGTTCCATCCAAACTGTTGCAGTTGAGCGACGGTTTGTCGGGCAGCATGGGGGCGAGCGTTATCGTGGAGAATGCTTACACCCTTGCTCAACATCCCTCTTCTCCGGTCCTGAATCGCCCGCCTGAGTTTTCTCAGTGTCTCACAATATCTCTCAGCGTTTATTGTGGTCCCAGTTTCCATAAAGTCAACCAACAATACCCCGTTTCGATCCCAAAACACAGTTGCCGTGACTTTACCGGCAGACTGTGTTTGCTTGAATTTTCGAGGCTTAGGCGAAGAGGAATGCCGCCACTGACGTGATTGTTGTTTTGTCTCAGGTGTGAAGTGGTATGCCCAGATTTCGTTGCCTGTGACAATTGAAT